GGGGGGGGGATTGGAAATTGTAAGACAGACTGAATTTCCAGTTCGTGCTGCGCTTGAAATTTTCGATATTCCAATTCTTTCCCGCTCAGTTTTGCGGTCGTTGTTGTTTTGGTACAGATTTATTCTTCTTCTTCCTCTTCCTCTTTTATACAATGTACATTATCTCGCATCGAAGCGTAACGCCAAAGTAAAAGAAAACATAAACGTAACATAGCTGCGGAAGCTCTCGCCTTGCCCCCAGCCAGCTGAGATATCATCCCACACCACCACCCCAAACGAACCAAAAAAGACAAATCAATACAAACGCTTTGTGACAACGCTTTGCCGCCTTTATCAGAAAATCAATCTCTGAAATCGACGCTGGATGTGGTGCGTGCGTACCAACAGAGACTTTGAATGACCGTCTTGACTCAACGCTTCGTCGGGTCTTCCGCCGATGACGATGACGCCGCCGTCGCCGGTCTACCGTCGACGCTATTCCTCCGGCCCCAGTTGCGAGGCTGCCGCTTAAGGAAGGCACCGACGGAGCCGAGGTAGCCTTCGTGGCGCAGGAAGTAGGCCTGCTTCTCGCCCTTAGACCAGAACTTGATGGCGTAGGAGAGGGTGTGCATAGTTTGCGGGTGGCCGCCGATGAAGGAGCCGCCGAAGTAGATGTGCTCCAGGTTATGCTTTTCGGCGTGGAGGTAGGCGATTTGACCGATGTTATTGCTGGATAGAGGATTTGTTGTCAGTGCGCTGTGTATGAGGGAGCACGCGGTGGTTGTAGTGTAGCGTACCTGACGGCATACAGCAGGCTCTTGCTGATGTCTTCCGACTTGAATGATCGCCCGTGCTCTTGCGAGGAGTCTTCCTTGAGGTTGCCGGTGTCTTCCGCCTCCTGCTCGGCTTGGCGCTTCATCTTGTAGACTTTGCCGAAGCTGCTAGCGATGGTGGTGCTTTTGAGACCGATCTTGCCGTAGCCGGAGCCGTAGATGTCGCCGACCAGCATGTCGACCGCCGTGTTGTCGCCACGCTCCGCAAGGCTGAGCATGTCCTCGAACGTTCTTGCGCCGGTGAGCAGGGAAAGAAGACCCCAGAGCGTTCCGCCTCCCAGCGAGGTGCCTCCGACACGCTCGTATTGCCGGGGGCCGGACACCTTGACCATGGAAACGCCGGAACCGATGTTCACCAGCAGGTAGGGGTATATGTTGGGACGGGCGGCGATGAAGCGCATCGGCTCCTCCTGGCTGTAGGTGAAGACTTCATGAGGAATCTCGGTGATGAAGAAATCGAGGCCTGGGGCGCATGTAAGCATACAACGGCGCGGTGGTTGCGAAAGGGGGACGCGCACCTATGATAAGGCACTCCATCTCGTCTTCTCTCACCACCTCCACCTCCAGAGCACCCTTGATCTCATCGTAATATTTGAAGGCGCCTCCGCCAGTGGCCATGACGCAGAGATCCGAGGGTCGCGAGCCATTGATGATTTCGTATTTAAGCTTCAGCTTGCGCAGGAAGTCGATACACTCGTCGATGCGTGCGGTCTCGAATTTCAAAAAGTTCAGGCGGCCGCCGAGCTCCTTGGACGTGGGATCGCGCGAGAAATAGACCAGTTTGGCCAGCGATCCGCCAATCTGCATGCGCACGGGGGTCAGCGAGCTAATTGGGGCGCGACGCGCACGAGGGGAGGCTCACGTCGACTGCGATGTGGCTGACGACTGCGGTGTGGTTGGGCAGGCGGATGTCCTTGGAGCCGTGCTCGTGCTCGTAGTCGCTCTCGGGCGACTCGGGAGTGCGCGGCTCGTCGTCGACTATGAAGGCGCCCTGCACGTTGATGTAGACGTTGCCCGGGTGCCTGATGGTGGGGTCGTCGTGCGAGCGGTTGGCGGGGTGCGCGGCATCGTGCGACAGCGAGGGCGACATGGTGGTGAGCTGCTGGAGCTTGCGCTTGGCTTGGTCGGCGGCGGCGAGGAGTCTTGTTCTAAGGCTGGCTGTCGAAGGCGACGCGACCGGCGGCGGCGAGGAGCAGGCCGGAATGACGGCGGGCGACGGACGCGAAGGCTGTGCGAGGTTCATCGGCCGGGCGTTGAGCGACTAGTCGGCGGCGCTGCTGAGGGTTGGCGGGAAGGCTGCTGGAGGAGAGCAGGCGACGGCTGCCGTGCAACACGCGGCGCGGACGACGTAGAAATTGCTCTGGCGATCCATCTCCGCCTGTCCGACAGTCGGTTGGTGAAAGAGCCATTGTACCTACGGCTACGGTGCAGTGTTGAGCACAACCTCGGACGTGCGCCCAGCCCACCGCGGGCTCTCCGCACCCGAGGCCCCAGACGGGGTCCGCTCGGCGAACCCCTCCATCGCCCTCCACGCCTGAAGCCCGCCGGATACAGCTCCTTCGCGCAGCCGATGGCTAGCGTGGATCTGTTTTTTGCTCATGTCATGGGTAGCTAAAGCTATCGTCCGGACGAGAATGTCGAATTAAAAATTCTACATACACGTCCGGACGATGGCTTCAACTACCTACGTATTGTTTTTTTTTTTCTCCTAAGAACGAGCTAAGGCATAGTTACGCCATGTTCTGCTATTCTTCGCGCTAGCCATCGGCTGCGAGAGGGGGCTGTAGCTCCTCAACCAATTCATCTTACGCCGCCTTCTGCTTTTGCTCACGCCGGCACTTGCCCAAACCAGTCGTCCGAACCGCCTCTCCGAGAGTCCGATATGCAATCTGGTATCACTTTTGGCTGCCATGAATAGTAATCGTACAGCTGCTCTATCCCGAACAAACCCAACCCGCAACCCGTGCCAGAAACTCCTCGAGCTCCGAACCATCCGCCCCGATTCCTTTTTACATGCACACGTCTCTGATCCCGGACGGCCCCTGGTCGTTGTAATCCGTCCTCGTCATGTAGCCCTGGCCCAGCCCTTGGTCTACTATGAAGAGCACCTTTGCCGCCACCTGCGCTCCGAGGAAAACCGCCTCATCCATCCCGACGTCCTTCCACTCCGGGAAGTACTCTGGCGCCTTGACCAGCTTGATGCTGGTCGGTGATTGTCCGTGGCCCGAGTGCGTGTTGTGCGAATGGAGTGAGCCCATCGGGCCTGGTGTTGATCCTTGGCTGATGTGCATCATTTGCGGGTTTTGTGCTGTTGTGGCCGCGTAAAGCAGTGGGTTGACACCGCTGCTGGTAGATTGGCCAAGCCCGGGATGTTGAGGTGTGTTTGCACCCGTAGCCGTGGGAGTCGAGAGATTCGAAGGGAGCTCGGACGTGAAGATAGTAGCCGAGGAAGGAGAGATCAGATACTTGGTGTGAAGTATCGCAACGAGGGCCTCCTTGAATCCTAAATGCACTCATTCAGCGGGTGCTGCGAATATGGGCCCGGCAAGCTTACCTCGAATCTTGGCGCCGTTTCCAACAATGATCAAAGAATCCCAGAGCTCGCTGCGCTTGTTGACCTCGTCCACGGCAGAAACTGTACGATGGATAGTGTCTGCCAGGCGCTCCAAAATCCCGCCACTTGCGGCTTGGAAGCGCTCCACCCCCACCTCGATTTCTCGACGAATCGGACCACGACTGCCAGCAGATCCAGATGCCGCGCCATTGGTCTCGAGACCCGTCATCGCATCGCCGCCCTCATTGTCTCCCTTCCGGTGCGAGCCTTCATCCAGTGCTGCCGCCGCGTCTGCCAATTGCTGGCCACTAGTGGTGTCCTTGAGCGCACTGAGAAGAGCATGGTCCTCGTACAGGAACGTCGCCCTTTCTCTCTTGGCGTTGGGCAAGCGCCCTGGCTTGTTCGCAGCCTCCCTGGCAGCATCGGCGCCCTTCTTCTTCGCCGCAGCCTTTTCTTGTTTCTCCTTCTCTTTCTTGGCCAAAAGTTCATTCATCTTGCCGCTCGTGACAATGCTTGCCACGTCGAGCACTCCCTCGCTCTCCTCATCCTCCTTCGCTTCTTCGCCCACCTCGGTATCGACGCCAGGGCCGCGAGGGCCGCTGCCAATGGTGGCGGCGCCATCGGGGCCAGACCCTGTCGCCCCAGTCGACGCAGCAGCGGCAGGGTTGGATATGGGCTCGGCACCACTTTCTCCGGAGCCCGGCAGAGGGACATTCGGGGGTAGGATTTCGCAAATGGCATTCTTCTTCAATTGCTCGCACATTTCCCGATTGAGCCCCTTGGACTTCAACAACTCCAAAAGCCGCTGTGTCATGGCATCTCCTCCACAGTCGGGCACAGAGATGGCCCTGCCGGTCTCATGCATTATGAAATCGCTAATGGCTGTAACATCGGCTTTTTGGTAGCCCACGTCGATGACGGTGGCGCTTTGAGTGCCGTAGGCGTAGGCAATGGCTGTCGCCGAGTCCATGATGGTGAAAGCGGGCATCTTGAACTTCTCAAAGAAGAACTGGGTGAGCCTCTCCTTCTCCTTGGGGGTCCATGCGGGCTGGCCAACCAGCAGGATAGGCGTATGGAAGGGTGGGTTGAGAGTGTTGTAGACGTGGGTCATGAGGGCGAAGAAACAAGGCCAATTGACTATACGGCCCTCAACCATTGGCCACACGGCACCCTCATCCGAATCGTGGTCCTCCTCGTAGATGACATCGTCGTCGGACGCAGCTGGTGGCCTTTGCGCATCGCTGGCCTCGGGCTTGACGCCGTCCTTCCGGCGCACCTTGTAGGGCTCCCACTCGCCATCCTTCTCGGCAGCAAACATGCGCGACTTGATGCGTAGGCGAGCGGGAGTGAGCGACTCGGGAAGGCCGAGCTGGGCGAGGGTGGTGTGCGACCCGGGCGCAATGATCTAGAGGCAGGTGAGCTTCGAGGCGTGCAGCAGGCACGAGAGACGCACGATCAGCTGCTCATCTTTGAAGGGCGGCATGGTTGCGGGGCCGCGGAGGCGTGGGCGGGCAAGGTGTAGGGCGGGCGGGAGAGTCGCGAAGAGAGTCGCGATGCGCGCGGGCTGTGAGGTCGCGTCGGCGGGCGAAAGCCGTGGCCGGTGGTGGTCCAAGCTTGCGCGAGGCCGGGGTGCTGGAGCTGTCAGTCCCGCAAGCTTGTGACGCCCGCCGCGAATGTCCACCTCACCGGTCATGACTCCAGCCTGCCTCTCGCCATAGCAGCGGTGTCCCCGTTGTCGGTCTCGTCTCCCTGCGCCGGGTGCACGCTCCGTGATGTCGTCCAACATAGCTGCCAGCGCCTCCCAAACGGCCACCGCCGCCCTCGCCGAACCTCATGCCGCTGCCTCCAACTTCGGCCTCCTTGCGCGACTGCTGCTCGGCACGGTGAAGGTCATTCCCGGCGTGCTCTACTCGATCATCACCTTCACCACCATCACCCTGCCGACATGGATTTTCAACGTGGCCTCGATGAGCTTGACCGTCACCATGAACGCGACTACGCTGTAAGCTCCCACCATGCATGCCAGGTTCACCCGACTGACACGGCCCCAGACTGTTGCTGTTCCTGGCCGTGGGCTCCACCGTCAGCTGGTTCGTCCGCTATCGCTTCCTGAACATGTACACTCGCTTGCCTCCGGAGCCACAGCGCGAAGAACCCCACGTCGAGGTTTTCCCAGACACGCAGGAGGGAGACTCCAAGCGCGGTCTGTCCAACTATCTTGATGAGTTCTTCAGTGCCATCAAGGTTTTTGGCTACCTCGAGCGTCCCGTCTTCCACGAATTGACACGTACTATGCAAACCCGCAAGTTGATTGCTGGCGAAACGCTGCTGCTGGAAGAGGAGAAGGGCTTCTGTCTGGTTGTCGATGGTTTGGTTCAGATTTTCGTGAAGTCTAACCGTGACGAGCCCGCTGCTGACTCGGGTGTCTCGGGATCCGATTCTGATGATGAGGACGGAGACACTCGGGGACATCAGCAGGGTTACCAACTCTTGACTGAGGTCAGAAACGGCGCCCCCATGTCATCGCTGTTCTCGATTCTCTCCCTCTTCACCGAGGACGTCAAGCTCCGCCATGATGAGGACCAAGGCATAGATTCCGCTCCGCCTACAGCTGGAGGTCCTCGGCTCCAACGTGCAGACTCGCAACCTGTGGTGGTCCCAATGACCCCTCAATCTGAGACCTTCAACAGCCCGCAACAAATGCCTCCGATGTCTCCCAGATCGGAGCTTAGCAATGCTCGTCGTGCCTCCGCCATGGCCAGCCCCACTGCCAGTGGTCGGCTTCCCAGGGTGCCTTCTCTTTCTCTCGATACATCCCAAGAGCTCGAGCATGACAGGCCTTCTCGTAAAGCTAGCGAGTCGAAGACAAGGAAACAACTCAAGTCTGCTCATCCTGATATTGTTGCACGAGCCACCGTTGATACTACCATTGCCATCATTCCGGCCACTGCTTTTAAGCGCTTGACGCGTATCTATCCAAGAGCAACCGCACATATCATACAAGTCATTCTTACTAGGCTTCAACGTGTTACCCTATCGACTGGTCATGCCTATTTGGGACTGACTAGTGAAGTGCTTCGCATCGAGCGTTTGATGAACAAGTACACCACTTACGACCTTCCGGGATTTCTCAGGGACGCTGCCCTTCAAAGGCTCAAGGACAAATTCTCAAAGGTGAGTTCACCAAGGGCGTCGAGAGAGGTTGAGCTAATTGATCACTAGGAGCGAGAACGCATCGGTGATGAAGATGGAATGAAAGGAATCGCGCTTCACAACCCTGCTACTCATCGAAAAAGATCTGGGAGCGGTTTGAGAAGAGAGGTTCATACTCGACTAGCTCCAGTCCGTCCTACTTCTGCTGCACCAACAGAACCAGCCCCCAAAAGAAGTGCTACCATGACCCCTCGAGCTTCACAGGAGAATGTTAGCGCAGGTAAGTATTGTTCCAGCCGTATGTCATGATTCTTGCTAACCCAATCACAGGTGACTTGTTGACGAATCATCATGTGTCGCGAAACAGCCGTGGACGTATGGGTAGTTTCTCTCAACCGTTCACTCCCCCTCCTCCTAGACGTGATGGACGTACCCCTTTGGACTCTGGATCTTTCAATCCGTTCGCCCAGACCAGCGCTCGCATTCCTCTTCAACGACAAGAGTCCATGGACGAAGATGCTTTCTTCCGTGAATCCGTTCTCGATTGCATGTTGAAGGCCATTGGCTTGACCAACACTCGAAATGTCGTCGCGAAACCTGACTCTGTGGAACAATCCCCTCGGCTTGTCTCCTTCGACTCCAAGCGCCAAAAGGCCGTCTTCAGCAACGCTTTTGGATTCCTCGATCCGTTTGAAGGATCTGTAGATGCAGAAACCGAATCGGTTGCTTCTGTTCCTCTCTCCACCATCAGCGCCACTTACAGCAGAAGCATCCATGAGGAATTAGTCAACGATGTTGAGATTGTCTTCTTCCCCAAAGGTTCGGTTTTGGTGGAGCAGGGTGAACGCAACCCAGGTCTTTACTACGTCATCGATGGTTTCTTGGACGTTGGCATGCCAGTTGACGAGAAGAAAGGTGATACCGATCCCATGAGTACCTTTGCCAACGACTATACCTCTGGACTCGACGTTGGAGATTTGTTTGGTGGCAGCCTACACAAAACTTCGACCAATTCCACCATTGGTGGCGGCTCGCGCGAATCCGGAAAAAAGAAGAAGCAACAGCGGAAAAGCTTGTTCCTCACAAAGCCGGGCGGTCTGGCGGGATATCTGGGTACAGTCTCTTCTTATCGGTCTTTCATCGACGTCGTCGCCAAAACCGATGTCTACGTTGGATTCCTGCCTCGCGCTTCCATTGAAAGGATCGCGGACAGGTATCCAGTCGTGTTGTTGACCATGGCCAAACGCTTGACCATGCTCCTTCCCCGTATGATTCTACACATTGACTTTGCTCTGGAATGGGTTCAAGTCAATACAGGACAGATTATCTACAATCAAGGAGATGAGAGCGATTCCATCTACATTGTCTTGAACGGTCGCCTACGTGCAATTCAAGATACGGAAGACCAGGGCATGAAGGTCGTTGGCGAGTACGGCCAGGGAGACAGCGTCGGAGAACTCGAAGTCTTGACGGAATCCACCAGGCCTGCTTCGTTACACGCCATCCGAGACACTGAAGTCGCGAAATTCCCAAAGACTCTATTCAACAGCCTCGCTCTCGAGCATCCAAACATTACCATCAAGATCTCCAAGATTATCGCCAGCCGCATGCGTTCCCTGATGGATTTTCCAATGCACGACCAAGCAGCTGAACGCACCTTCGCCGTCAAGAACAGTGTCTCGTCAACCGCCAACTTGAGAACCGTCGCCGTGCTTCCCGTCACTGGAGGAGTCCCCGTGGTGGAATTCGCCGGCAGGCTTGTCAACGCTCTTCACCAGAGTGGTCTGCCCAATAGAGTTGTGTCACTCAACCAAGCAGCCATCTTGAATCATCTTGGAAGGCATGCTTTTAGCCGTATGGGCAAGCTCAAGCTTTCACAATACCTTGCCGATCTCGAAGAGAAGTACAGCATGGTTCTCTATGTGGCCGACACCAACGTCAAATCTCCATGGACACAAACCTGCATCACTCAAGCGGATTGCATTCTCATTGTGGGCCTTGCTGAAGGATCCCCGGCAATCGGTGAATACGAGCGCTTCCTCCTAACAACAAAGACCACGGCAAGGAAGGAGCTTGTCCTCCTCCATTCTGATCGCTATTGTCCTCCGGGGCTGACGCGTAAATGGCTCCGTAACCGCATGTGGATCAATGGTAGTCATCACCATATCCAAATGTCTTTTCGCACTGCCCCCGAGCCCATCCATCCTACCCACCGGAGGTTTGGTACCGCCATTAAACAGCGTGTTCAGATCTTGCAGGCCGAGATTCAGAAGTACACGTCAAAGCGCGTACGCCAGAGTCCCCTCTACTCCGCCGACACCCATCATAAGGGCGATTTCCACCGACTGGCCCGGCGTCTGTGTGGAAAGTCGGTCGGACTGGTTCTTGGAGGTGGCGGCGCCAGAGGCATTGCACATATTGGTATTATACGAGCCATGGAGGAAGCTGGGATCCCAATCGACATTATTGGAGGTACCTCTATCGGCAGTTTTGTGGGTGCACTCTATGCCTGGGATGCTGATGTGGTCCCAATGTACGGCCGTGTCAAGAAGTTTGCCGGACGCATGGCCAGCATGTGGCGGTTCGCTTTGGACCTCACATATCCATCGTAAGTTTCCAACCCCTCCAGTTGAACGCAACTAACAACCCAGCGCCTCGTACACCACTGGTCATGAATTCAACCGCGGCATCTTCAAGACATTTGGCAATGCGCAGATTGAGGATTTCTGGCTAGAATATTACTGCAACACGACCAACATCTCCCGCTCGCGCGAGGAAATCCACACCTCGGGCTACGTCTGGCGGTACGTCAGGGCGTCCATGAGTTTGGCCGGTCTCGTTCCCCCACTCTGCGACGAAGGAAACATGCTTGTCGACGGCGGATACGTTGACAACCTCACCGTCGCGCACATGAAGCAGCTCGGCGCCGACACCATATTCGCTGTAGATGTCGGTTCGCTTGATGACGACACACCTCAGCAGTTTGGCGACAGCCTCTCCGGTTTCTGGGCGCTACTAAACCGCTGGAACCCCTTCGGAGCCCACCCCAACCCGCCCACCCTCAGCGAGATCCAGGCACGGCTGGCCTATGTCAGCAGTGTCGACGCTCTCGAGCGTGCCAAGAGCATCAAGGGTTGTCGCTACATGCGGCCGCCAATCGACCCCTACGGCACCCTCGATTTTGGCAAGTTCGACGAGATTCATGATGTCGGCTACAGGTTCGGCAAGGAGTTCCTCGCCAAGCTGCGCGAGGATGGTGAGCTCGGTGGTGTGGAGGAGGGGGAGAAGGAACGCCAGTTGCGCAGAACCATGGCCCCCAGGAGAGCGAGTATCTAGTCACTGTAGCAATGAATTATGGTCCTCGCCCATGTTACAGCCAGCACCAGGAAGTGCCGCGAACAACAAATGACTATAAGTATAATAGTAACCCTCCTTGGGGAGTAACTAACTCCTATTATTAGTTCCCATAACACGAACTATAACGCACCTAAGACGGAACGTGATGATTATAGGAATAATATAGAAATAACAATCGATTAGATAGGCCCTCCGCCTCCTAGTACACGAGGAGATATTATTCTAACTAGGATTAGCCCTAAATAGCCCTCCGCTACTAGCGAGAGGCGATAACGTTTTTAAACTCTCTACTTTTCTAAGTAAGAAGAAAAATCTTTTATAATAAGCGATCTAGCTATTAAGATAAAAGAATTAAAAAGAATTTTAGTTTTTTTAAATAAACGCTATTTCGTAATTTCTTTATACTAGTAAGTAATCTCTAAAGTATATATAATACGTAATATACGGTAGTACTACTACTAGACGGCCTTATATCTTAGCGAAAAATAATAGCGTACGATACTATTTAAGATATTTAGTTTAGAGTAAAAGCTTTAAAGCGGCGAATATATTAAATACGTTTAAAAAACGTAATTAGTAAGTTATATTTAATACTAAAATATTATAAATTTAAATTAATATAAAAGACTTAGTATATATATTTTAAAACTATAAATATTAAATTATAGTTTATAAGGCCGTACTCTAAACTTCTTTTATTATAAAATTAAACTAGTATTATTATTATATACGCGTATACGTATTAATTAGACTTTTAGTTATATATTTAAAGCCGTTTTAGCTTTATAAACTATATTTAATAAAAAATAAAGCGGTATTTATTATTATACTCTTACTATTAACTACTAGATATAGTAA